AGGCCGGGCGGGCGGGCGTGCGCCTGGCGCGCGGCACTGCAGCGCTGGTCATATGAGCAGAAATGATGAGAAAAGCACTTTTTAATCTTTTCGCACTTGCTCTGCCCGCTCAAACAGTTGCAGGATGTCGATGACAGACTTGCTCAACGCGGAGGACATCAGGAAGGCGGTCGGAGCCTTTACCGGTGAGTTGCACACTCCCCTCCCCAGCCCTGTTCCCTCATCTGTCGCCTTGGGCTGTGCACCCCAGTGGCTCAACTGGTCAGACCTCCTCTGCCTCCAAATGCCCACGCAGCCTGCAGGGCACAGGCGGGTCTGGGCAGGCAGGATGCCCAGCTTTTCCCAAATTCTGGGGCCGGAGAGACTTGGGGAAGGGCTCTGCCATGGGCTGGAGCGACACAAACTTGAGCCCCCCTCCCCCGAGGGTGGCCCCTCTGGGAGGGCTGTGGGTCCAGGACCAAGGCCAAAGACCAGGGTTAGAGGAGGCACCGGGGGCAGGAGCGGTCTTGCGCTAGCTGAGACTCCCTTAAGATAGGTGCAAAGGGTCTCTCAGAGACCCCCATTCTGGACAAGACAAAGCCATGGGCCCTTGTCCGACCCCCGACTGCGATCTCCTTTCCCAGGCTTCAGAGTCCCTCACTGACAGAGGTGACCTTCCGGAAGCAGGCTCCGGGCTTTGCCCAACTTGTGCTGCACCCCACGGTACCCCAGTTCTCAGCCTCTGTGGATGGGAGCCACTGCCTCCTCTCTTCTGGCTGCTCCTGGATTTCCTGTTTTAGCTGCCCCTCGTCCCATTCCCTTCACCCAGTTGGGGAAACTGAGGCTCAGGGAGGCTGGGTGACCTGCCCAAGGTCACCAGCCTGGCAGGAGAGGGATTAGAATGGGGTGCTGTCCAGGTGTGCTTGGTCCCCACTCTAGTGCCAGAGTGCAACTTTCCTCCCTCAGCTCTGGGCAGAGGAGAGAACATCCCAGCAACCCTCACCCTCTCCAGTCCCCTTACACACACAGATACACAGTCTCAGGTTCTACTCTTTACTGGATGCTTTAGCAAGGAGCTCATAAGACATAGAAAATTGGGGGTGAGCCGGGCATGGTGGCGCATGCCTGTAATCCCAGCACCCGGGAGGCTGAGACAGGAGGATCGCTGTGAGTCCGAGACCAGCCTGGGCTACATAGTGAGTTCCAGGTCAGTCTCAACTACATAGTGAGACCCTGTCTCAAAAACCCAAAAAATAACAAATGAAAAAAAAAGAAAATTGGGGGGCAGGAGGGGTCCACTTCCTTTCTGCCTGGCACCTTCCCCTGGGCACAGGAAGCTCTGGAAAGCCACTCTTCTCTGGCACAGTGTGACCCATCTGCTCTGCCTGGAGCCACCTTGCCACCTCTGAGAAGAAACTTAGCTGAGCGCCCCTGGTCGGGGCTGGGGCTTGGCCGGCACACACATGCACGCTCTCACCAGAATGGATTTCTGCAGCAAAGCCAGGACTTCTAGGTCCTCCCTGCCTCCTCCCACCGCGTGACCTTGACAGAAACGTGTCCTCTGTGTTGATTTTCCAACAACACAGTGCAAGGTCAGGAAGGGAGGGAGGCTGCCCCTCCCCCACCTGGTGCACACCCTCGCCTCACCCAGCTTCAATTCCCAGGCCCACTCCCACCCTGCTGCCACCCTAATGCTTCGGGGAAACAAGGTTGTCAGGAAGCCAAAGGCCTCTGTTTGGGTCTTTGATGCTAACCCCACAGATGGCAAAGCGTGGAGAGAGGCAGGGGCCAGGCTTGAGAGGCGGGGGTCCAGGGCCACCTTTTCCCGCTAGCACATGACCTTTGAGGACACATCCTCCCCTTGCATGGACTCCTTAACCCTCAGTGGAGGTGCATTCCCACGAGGCCACTCTGGAACTGATCGTCAGTGCCCGCCCGACACCTGCCATTCTCCCACCCTTCCCTACAGCCCCCTCTATGTCCCCATCTTAACCTGATGCCCCTTCCACAGCTGCCGAGTCCTTCGACCACAAAAAGTTCTTCCAGATGGTTGGCCTGAAGAACAAGAGCCCGGAAGACGTGAAGAAGGTGTTTCACATCCTAGATAAAGACAAGAGTGGCTTCATCGAGGAGGAAGAGCTGGGGTAAACTGAGGCTGAGGGGGGCTCTTGCTTTCAAATTCCCATCAGAGCCGCCTCTCTCTCTGCACCCCTCACCCACAGGCAGCACTGAGACCCAGGGCTCCAGGGGGAAATAGTTCACAGCGATGATGCTTCCGGAAGAACCAAAGCCTCAGCTCAAAGTGCAACTAACTAGGTTAAATTATAGCCACTTAATATTGCTAATGGAATGATGCTCCTTAATAATTCAATACAAATGAAGAGGCAGTTGTCCTTGTTGTACTCGGGCAAAGCCGAAGCCCACGGGATGGGATTGCGTCGATTTCCACCTCCACCATCCTGCAGCCCCCACCCCTTCTGGACCAGAGCCATCTCCAGGCCAGCTCTGGGGCCTTAGGGATGCGTGGAACGAAGTAGACAGGAGGAGGCCAGGACCAGGCAGTGCAGCACTGATTCGGCACAGAACCCTGCTTTGTCACCTGCTTCAGCCACCCAGCCGATGTCTGAAGGCCCAGCTGTGCCTTATGTCACTCTCTGGCCAAGACTGCCTTGGTTTTTTGTCAAAAAAGAGAAAGGGCAGGGTAGGGAGAGAGCTCTTCTAATCAGGAACTTCTCCTACCTTTCCTGTCTCTTCCCCAAACTGTTCTACAAGGTTGTGCTCTGTCTGGAGCCTTCTCCTATCTGCTCCACGCCCCCCCACTGGCCATCTCCTCCCTGTCCACCTTCTCCGGGAGGGCTCCCCCACGCCTCTGTCCCCTCTGAACACCGCTGTCAAAGTCCACATCACTCCGTATGGGTGCTCTGACCTGCAGCCCCCTTATTCAGGTGGCTTTCTGAGACCACCACAGCGTCTCCAGTCTCCAGCATAGCCTGGACGTAGACAAGGCCCTCAGTGGGCATTTGAGGTGGACCCTGCTCAGCAGACAGCCAGTCCTCCCCACACTCATGCACGCAGGCGTGGCTGCGGACCAGGCTCCCTGGCCAGCCCAGCTGCACCCATGCCCACGGCTCGCTGCCTTTCCCGGGCACCCCTTTCCTGCACAGATGCCAGCCCACCGCCACCCACACTATGTTTCTGCAAGGTGACCTTGGCCTGACTCCCTCTCCTGCTTCCTCCTGTCTTCCCCCAGATCCATCCTAAAGGGCTTTGCTGTGAATGCCAGAGACCTATCTTCTGCAGAAACCAAGACTCTGATGGCTGCTGGAGACAAAGATGGAGATGGCAAAATCGGGGCTGACGGTGGGTGCCATGACGCGGGCTCAGGGTGGATTGTGCATTCTGGAATGTTTGGATGCTGAGCGTTCAGAAATCTGTCACAAGGAGAGGAGAGTTAGACCAAAAAGGCAATCCACTGGGTCTGAGGGCTTTGTCATACAGCCAGGCAAAAGGAAAAGATTACCAAAACTGCTGTATTTTTCTAAATTTGAATGACCCAGGGAAAATGGCTCCTTTTCTTTTTCTTTCTTTCTTTTTTCCCTGCTGAGTAGGGGATCAAGGAAAATTTGAGATTTTCTCTGCACTTTGCCTGGGTTCTGGTCCCGGCTCTGCCTATCCTGGCTGTGTGACCTTGGGCCATCTCTCTCCTCCTCTGAACCGGAGGCTCCCATCTGTAACCCTAGATGAGGCCAATGGTTCCCTAGGACCTGCTGGCTCTCAGTCTCCAGTTCCAGGGGTGGAAACTCCTTATCTCTCACCCTCCTCAGCCTCTTGTCTCAGTGTCCTATAACCTCGTCTCCAGTTAGGTTTTGGTGTCACTCAAATAGGCCACTCCAACCCTATAGGAGAAGCAGCCAGCCAGGAGCCAGCTGGGAATTACTGAGTCTGCTTCCCAAACTTTGCTCTTAGTGAGCACAGGGGAGGCTCTGGCAGTCCTCCACCCACCTCCTTGTCCGTCTGGCCCTACCTGCCATTGGTGGGGTGCATCCTGGTGTTGTCACTGTTGTCTCTCTTAACGTTGTGCATTTTGCAGACACGGACATTGAAGGGGCTTGGCCTAGTTCAGGGAGCCAGGATGTGGTGATGGGGCAGGGATTTAGAACCAGGTCTGCAGGTGTCTTTACAGCCTGCTCTGCCCCACCACCCACTCTATCATTGCCTTTCTGATCACGTCAGAGAAAACTGTATAGAGCTTTCTTTGAGTTCCGATCCCAGCCTCTGCAGCCATGTGACCTTGAGGAGTTTGCCTAACTGCCCTGGGCCTCAGTGTTCCCAGCTATCAACTGCAGCAATGATGATTCTTATCATGAGGATTAGATATGTGCTCAGAATGGTGTACGGCGCTCAGAACTGGTGAGCCACAGAGCCACTGCTGCCTATGTGTCTGTCGACCCAATCAAAATGACACCAGGATGAGACTGCATGTGCCCTTTTATTCCTGCCATTCAACAGTACTTGATACAAAGCAAGTACTTAATTAAACATCTGTTGCCTGTGTATGAAGCCCAGGTCCCAGGCCCCCAGGCCCCCAGGCCCAGCTTCCTTTTTCGCCCCTCGCCATCTGTGACCACATCTGGGTTCCTTTGCCCAGCAAGGGACAGAATGTACACACTTATCCTATCACCTGCTTGGGCTTGTTATGTGATTTCAGTGGCTACGGACACGCGCTTTATCTGGGAAAAGAATAAGGGTTCTGAAAGTGGGTGCGAGTTTATTAAGGGTTGCTTTGCCAGAAACAAGAATAGAGAATATCTACCGAGGTGAGAGGTGTGGGGAGTGTTCCAGCCGTCTGACCCAGCAGCTTCTTTCTCCTGGGAAGGAGGGAGGTAGTTTTTAAGGGGCCAGAGAGAGAGGGCACTGGTGAGCATTGCTGGCTTGTCTGCCTTTGGTGACCTCCCATCCTCACAGGGCCACAGCAAGCCCCGGGTCCCACTATAACCCCAACCTGGGCTTCCGGATGGGCCTCCCATTTTTTTATTTGCAGCCAATAAACCACAGCTCAGGAATTATAGGTGGGTCTTTATGGCTGGCTGTTCACAGGTAACCTAAATGGTGGGAAAAAAACAAAACAAAACAAAAAAAAAAAAAACAGGGCAGCTCCTGGCCTGGTTCCCTGTCTCCCTCTCTGCCATAATTGGGTCTTAAGGAGCCAACTTTGTTATTCAACAGACCCAGTAGACATTTCCTGAATAGCAACTCAGCGTCTAGCACCGGGGAAGGCAGAAGCGAAGGCTCTAAGCCCAACTTAGATGAGCACCAGTCCTGCTCTGTGGCTCTGTGATCCAGGCCCCACTTCCCTCATGTGTAAACCGCCCATGACAACACGCAGGTCTTGAGTGCAGCACCCAACATGGAGTAAATGCTGGGATGGTATTTTTATTCTATCTACACATTGTTTACAGTTCCACATGTCAATGGTGCTCCAGGTTGAGGGCCCCTTCACCGAAATGCTTGGGACCAGAAGTGTGTCGGGTTCTGGAGCTTTTCAGATTTTGAAATATTTGCACAGTATCCCTTTGGCACTCCAATAGTTTCAGATTTGGGGACTAGAGGTGTTCAACCTGTGCGGGGCAGAGCAGGGAGCACAGGCGATGGGCACTGACAGACCTAGAGGAGAGAGGCTGCTGTGCTACGCACTGGGAGGGGCACAGAGAGGCTCAGGTAAGGCGCTAACAGCAGCAGAGGACGGCGAGGGCAGGTTTAGAAAGGGGCAGGAAGAGCAGCTTTCTTGGAGAGAGGAGAATCAGTGCTGGGTACAGAGAGTGCACCCAGGTCAGTGCTGAGCTCCGTACAGGTATCACTTTATTTCACCTTGGGATGACAGAGGACATAGGTGCGGATGCAGACAAGGAACTCAGAAGTCCAAGGTCACACGGCCAGCAAGTGTGACAGCCAGGATTCAACCGGGTCTGTGTGACCACATAGTCCAGCCCCGGGCCACCCTGTGCCAATGCACTGAGCTCTGGGAGCAGGGACAGAACCCAGAGGCCAGGCCAAAAGATGAAGAGCGTGAGCCGTGTGGATCACCCCGAACTTCCTCCTTTCTAAATGGGAGAGGCAGATGCCCTGGCCCCCGCTTCCATGCCCAGACACAGGAAGGGTGGGCATGGTGATGCCCCACAGGTGTGGGAAGGCAGGCAGAGCCCTCCTGAGACCCTGGCGGTTCTGATCCCTGTGCTGTGCTTTCCCTTGGCTCCCTATGAAGGCAGAGGGTCCGAGTCCCTCTCACCAGCCAGGAGACACTCTCAGCTGCAAGTCACAGACCTTCTCCGAGCCTCTGAGTGTCTGATCTTCAAAACTGGGGTCAGATGACTGGTCCCTTCCAGCTCTGGGCTTCTACAGAGTTAATCCTACATGAAGGAGCATGAATCAGGACTTGGACTCTGCTGTGCGGCCTTGAGTGATAATAGTTGTAACATTTTCCATTGTGGAGCACTGAGTAGGTGCCGGGCACTGTGCTTAGTGCTTCGAGCATTAACCTTCTAGCTATCTTTGAAGTGGATGCTGTTACTATTGCCATTTTATAGATGGGAACACTGAGGCTCAGAGAGGCTGATGTGTGCCTAAATCCCATGGCTAGGAAAAGAAAACCTCAAGGTCCGAGTTCAGGTTGGTCCAGCCCCAAAGCACACGCATCGTGCTGCCTGCTTCATGCAGTCACACAAAGGTTAGTGGCATCCACTAAGAGCTTGTTGCATGCTTGCTTCTCTCTCCCACTAGGATGCCAGTGCCAGAGGGCAGGCACTTGGGGTGTGTGTGTGTGTGTGTGTGTGTGTGTGTGTGTGTGTGTGTGT